ACTCATTACCTCCCCGTCGCTTCGTGGCCGGTCTTATATATACAAGACTACACTATATCTAGAAGGATCACGAGATTTAAGGAAAAGACGTGAATGTTCGAGAATGACGTGGCGTGATACTAATCACGTGACCTCGATGTCGTAACAGTATGTTTACTGAAGACATCTGCAAATAGTTCCAATAACAGAATAATGCTTTACGTTTAAAAAAAGAAGTTTTTTTTACCCCATATACAATTGTATTGCCTAGTTTTCGAAGATAGCCCTCGTGTAGTTTTGTGCGAAATTCAAAACAAACATTTGTTAAGATCGTCATGTCGGGAGGAAGAGGTCGAAAATGTACCTGACCCTCTCAGGCCCTCTACGACCAAGTAAGGTCGTCACCACTCTGTTAACTATAATAACTAAAATGATATGTAGTTAACTGTAATAATAACTAAAATTAAACTAATAAAACTAAAGGTATAAATCCTTAACTGTAAAAGTATAACTATAACTAAAAAACACTGATTTCTTACTTTTGTGAAAGTCGCACGGGCTCAAATGCTTTATCACAGAGGTATCTGTCTTGTCGTCATAAGTTGTCGACTTGTTAGATAATTAGTTAAGCTGGTCATTAGGGTTTTGGGCATATTTGTCATGTGTTGGGATATTTAAAGCTGGTCCCTCTTTCTATTAATTGGATTTGCCAACTGATGTCAGATTTCTACTGCCCTTGTTTGGTGAAAGAATTACAGAATATTTGACAATCAAATAAAGAAGTGTTGAGTTTTTGTGAAAATACAGTTTTTATATGTGTCCGTCTATTTATTTCCTGTTATTGTGGTTTAATAATGTTGCGTCAGCGAGGTCACGTGACTAGTATCACGCCACCTGTTTCTAGAAATATCCTGTTCCTTCAAGAATGCCCTAGCATTTACTAGATATGTGTTAGTCTTGTATATATAAGACGTTCACAACGTGACGGGACAACAGAGGTAATGAGTAATTGAACCGCAGTCATAGAGAGAATATTGTTAAGCACGTGAGAAGTTCGTTGAGAATTATAGCGTTTGTTACAGAGCGACTGTTGAAGTTGAGTGTATTGTAAAGTTGTATTCGGAAAGAATAAACCAGTTTTATTTAAGAAAGGATTTGTGTCGCTAAAGTTTCGTCGGAACGAATTTACGGAAAATCAATTAACGAACGGAGACGTAACACTAAGCTATCCCAGTTTTTCTGTTTGTTAGGAAACGGAGAAGCAGAACAACCCAACTAGCCCTTTCAGGGACTGGGTGATTCTCAACCCACTGTAACAACTAAAAATTCTTGTACAAGTGCAGTTTCATCCTCTTATGATTCGTAAAAGAAAGATCATGTCAGATTGAAAATCTCACTACTAATTCTGGTGAGGAAGACGATCTCTCTCTCTCTCTCGTCTGATCCAGCGTTATGGGCAGCGGACAGGGAAAGAATAATAGAATTTTGGACTCGAAAAAATATTATTCCAGAACAAAATATAGTAGAGCAAGATTTTTCAGCGTCAAAGAGAGGTCTGTATGTATTCAACAGATGTTCAGAGGTGCTGTCCATTGAACTTTTTAAGATTAAATTTAAAAAACGGCAAAAACAAGGAGATTGGTTGATCTATTCTCTTTTTCTGGAATTTGCTTTTTTTGTATTCTTTTTTAAAGATTCTGATGACTTTTATAAAAGGATTCTACGATTGGTCGCATGACTCTAGAGCTATACAAAACCATGAAAAAAGTAAAGCGTACATTTATTCTGTGCACTGCTGAATAGGACAAACTAATAGCATAGAAACTGTGGATTCAAAGTTAAACGATGATTTAGAAAACAAAATACGATATTGGCGGGAGATATTGCGTCGAATTGTTAAATGTCTAAAATTCTAGTGTGGAAGAGGATTAGCACTTAGAAGGGATAGAGAGGAGATTGAAGATTTCAACAATGGCAACTTTTTAGCTGCATTAGAATTTGCAGCTAAATCCGATCCATTCTTGGCCAAGCACATTGAAAAGCGTGGAAATATTTATCCTCCACAGTCTATGAAGAAATTATCATTTTGATGGCTAATGAAATTTATAAGACAACTGCTGATGAAATTTGCGATGCTAAATACCTTTCAATTATTGTAAATTCCTCACCCGATGTCTCACACTCAGATCAGTTAGCTATAGTATTGGGATACGTGGACGAGGAAGGTGATACACAGGAGCGTTTTATTGGTTATGATTTTTCAAGTGGGCAAATAAAAAAATAATGGCTGAAGTTGTAGTAGAAAAATTAAATAAGATGGGAATCGACATTCAAAATGCACGTGGACAATGCAGCAGATATGTCCGGTAAATAAATGGCCTACAAACTCATCACAAAAACATAAACCACTATATTAATTACATCCCTTGTGCAGCACATTCATTAAATCTAGTAGGCGTGAAAGTTGCGAATACGTATCAATTTTTTTTAATGCGTTGCCAAAGCATTTGTGATGGCTTGAGAAGCGATTACGAGAGGCCAGTTACCCAAGAACCTCAGTGGAATAAGATGATCAGCCAGATCAGTTTCAACAAAAATTCTGTATGAAACTACGACAGAATTTATACCAACCTTCAATATTTATCTAAGATTTAAACTACTGCTTTGATGAATAAAATGCAAACGTTAGATATTGCTTTTATGATAGTTTATTGGTGTAAAATTCTTCGAAGATTTTATTACTTCAAGTTTTAAGCTAAAGAAAAGAGCCTTGATTTGTCTACTGCTGTAAAGCGTATCAGTTCAATGAAGAAATATGTAAATTCACTATCTGAATAATTCGACAGAATCGAAATTCAAAATCAGCAGCTTTCAAATATAGTAGTAGAACAGTTTAGGAGTGAGATATCAAGAAAGAGAAAAGAAAGCTGGAAAATAATGAGAGTTCTGAAGGTGAAATTAGTTTATCTGGAACTCAAAAGTTTCGCGTAGAAAATTTTGTACCAGTAGTTGACAAGTTATAAATGTGTTTGGAAAATCGTTTTGCTGCATATAAAGCGACAGAAATGAAGTTTAGTTTCTATCTAAATTCAAAAATTTAAATGAGACTGAAATTTTTGCTGCAACTAAAAAATTGGGAGACATATACTCCCCTCATCTAGACAGCTCTGTACAGATGAAATGGTACAGTTTACGAATTTTTTTTATCATGAAACACCATACGCCCAACAATGCATCAAAGCAATAAGAAAAAAAAAACAAACTCGAATCTGTTTTTCCTAATGGTGACTTGTCATAAAGAACATATTTGTGCCTACCTGCCACGAATTGCAGTGCAGAGAGAGCTTTTTTAAAATGACTAGAGTAAAAAATGAATTGCGTGCTTCGATGTTAAATGAACGCTTAAATGCCCTTTCCTTGCTCAAGATAGAAAGGACATTGCTTAGACAAATAGATTATTAAGATGTAATTACAGATTTTGCTTCCGCCAAAGCAAGGAAAAAACGATTTAAGGGTAATGTTTTGGCATGTTTCCTTAATGTTGTACAATAATTATATTGTTTTTTATGTACCTAATTTATTTTTACTTGTCATGTTGTATAAGTAAATAATTATTATTATAATCGTTTAATTTTAATATATCATCCTTAAAAATTAGATACATCATATTCTAACTTACTTCGAATAATTAACTCATATTCTGTAATTAATATGTATTAATTATAATTAAATTCAAATTTGCCTGTACCATATTCAAGGGGCCTCATAAAAAAAAAAAAACTACCTTAATACGGACTTGCCTGTACCAACTTTGCACTGAAGACAACACGCTTTGAGGCTATGGGTTAGACCGTTAGAAGAATGCACGTCACTGGTCGTCTGGCAAAAATACCAACATCGTGAAGCTTGATTCTAACTGTTTGAATGTCTAGGTGCTTAATCGGGAACACGCAGTACTCCCCCTCAGGTTTAATAATGTATATCAGGTCACAAAGTGGTCAACCGATGTTTGTTTTGTTAATTTTCGCGCAAAGCTATTCGAAGGCTATCTGCGTTTGCCGTCCATAATTTAGAAGTGATAGACTAAAGGGAAGGCGTATCATATACCAATAACTCTTGGGCTATTCGACTAATAGTGGAATTGACCGTAAAAAGTATAATGCTCTTGCGGCTAAATTTTTAGTGATGGGATCCGCGACCAGCAGATTGCATGTCGAGCACCCTAACCATCATACCAAGACAGGCCGCCCCAAAATGGCACTGACACAGTTTAATAACAGAAACTGTCATTCTCACAGGTAAAATGTAGACAATCCTAATTAACTCTCGAATGTTTTGATAAATATGCTACTTCTGTAATTTATCAGAAACGTTAAAAATGGTTCTAGACAGTCTTAAATTTTATCACTTTAAATATTAAATAGCACACAAAAGCAAATACATTAAATGCTCGTTTATTTTCATCAGTTAACTACATATTCAGCATATAATATTGGATTACATGTAATGATTCCATTACGAGTTTCTTTAAAACCTTCCAACATTTTATTTTGCAAAATAAGTGATGTGCATGTAACAATATCTTGATGTTAAATATCAGCACATGTTGGCAAGCTATATTTATTTGGGAAAATGTTTGTCTCTTATTGTTAAATATATATTTGACAATAAGAGGCAAACATTTCCCTAATTAAGTTTGTACACACGTAATGTAAAAAACCTAAAAAAAAAAAAATTCATTTTCAAGCTAAAACAAAAACTTAAAAAATTCACAACAATATTTTTGTATTAACTACTATCAAAATTAAAAGAATATGAAATGAAATTTTATTCTGCTAAACATAAAATTGTTTTCTAAAACTAAACTAGTTTTTACCATAAATCCAACTAGTTTAATCAGAATAAAATAACTTGTTTTGGCAAAGAAATACACGTTAATTCTAAACCTTTTACCTTTAGTTGGAAATATAAACAAAACATAATTTTACACGTTACATACCCATTATACAAGAACTCAACTTATTCTACTTCTATTTGAAAGCCTAAACTGGGAGTCAGGGAAAACTTTCAAACTAGCAGCTTACTATGGTTAAACGATTTTGTATAAATGTAACACTACAAACAGCAATGACGAGTTTTTTTGGGGGGGTTTGATATTGTTATATTTTCAGTGTTTAACTAACTCATATATATATATATGTATCAACCAAAATTAATTATTAAATGCACTTGTTAACGAAAAACAATACAGTTCGAATAAAAAGTTTTCACTTAATATTGTTATATTTTCAATGTTCAACAAATTAATAGCGTGTGTATATATATATATATCAACTAAAATCAATTATTAAATGCACTTGTTCAACACAGAATTTTTTACCATTTCAACTTGTTAAGCCATCATCAAAACTGACTCGTATTATATAGTGACCCAATACGGAATTTATGTACTTGTATCTGCACGTTCAACTTTCGACACAAGCATACCTATTTTAAAAAACAGGATATACATAAAATTAAGAACACACTTCCCAAAAATTGTCTTAATGATCAATCACTTCAGAAAATGAAGTATATTTCACTCGCACCAATTTTGAGTACCTGAGTGAGTTTTCAACAGTTATATAAAAACAAATGTCTGTTCTTGGCCTCGCAGCATCTTTAATATAACCTTTCGCACCAATAAATTGTATATCTAACAGGCTGTAATTATGTCTGTATTTAGTTTTATACTTTAACATTCAGATAGAAGGATGGTGTACAATGTACTGTTTAAAATTCTCCAAAAGAAGTATAGTTATAATATATACCGCCTTCTATACAATATATTGTCTAGTAAACTGAATGAATAGCTACTCAAATGCAATTATATAAATTTTACATTCTGACAAAGTAATAGAAATTGAAGATCAAATATCATGCATACAGCTGTATAGTTATCTTGTGTAAGTGAACTATCAAATTTTATTTTTTTACTCTATATTACAAAAATAAACTAGTTTATACTTTGTTAACTCTTAAGGACAATTTTTGCACTTTTGTTCCTTTGTCAAAACAAACCAAAAAATTTTGATTCTTGACAAAAATTACAAATGCCTTTCCTGTAGGAAAAAATATTTACAAAAACAATTTTTTTTCTAGGAAAATAAGTTTGTAACTATAGGGTAATTTTTTCTTTATAGATGCTATCCAAGTAAAAGAACAGTTATAACGGATATTTTTGCACATAAAATTGAATAAAAATTGAGTTTCTTTATGCTTACAGTTAAGATCTATAGAAACTGTAGGACTTCAAATACAGAAGGCATCTCTCAACCACTTCTCAGAGTTTATTTCCTATATAGTGATGTTAATTTACAAATAATACTTATATCAAACCTAAAGAAAATGATGAAACCAGGACAAGAACTGTTTTGATTCTTCTTTGTAAGCTACTGAGGAATATATAATTTTTTAATTCTTAAATAGGCAAGGGTAAATTTGTTTTTATTGTACTTTCATCTGCAGCTCAGCTAAATCAATTTAAAAAGGAACAGAATATTTGAAAAAAAAAGTTAATCCAAGGTAATCAGTAATTTCTCATATCTCTTCAATGTTTAAAAACCTATGAATCAGTTTTATTTTTGTCTGCACCAAAGATTAAATTATATTTTTCCTTGCTGTAAGGCCAATCTGGACGTGGCTGACCAAACATCACCTTGTGACCTAACCACAGAGGAATATCCAAAGGCTGAAAATAAGTTTCAAACATGCCTTTCATCAAACTGTTGAAATTATTTGAATTCTTTTTATCTATTTCAGATACCCATTTCTCTTTAACCTTATCTACAATATTATTTTTCTTCTTATTGAGGAGTGATTCTACATGACCCTTATGCTCAACATGACTATCAGATCTGAGCCATTTATCAGTAGAAATATTCTGCAGAATGTTCAGCGACATTGATTTTCTTTCAGAACCAATCCCTACATTTTTAAACAAGGGTCTAACCCAAATCTGAGACTCTAAGAATGAATTTCTTTTTAATAAAGACTGGCTGAAATGTTGGATCACTGAATCTTTTTCTTGACTTTTTTTAAATTCATGGTTAGATATATTGTGATTAGTCTCATGTAATCCCTTTTTAAAATCTGTTGCATTATGAGTTACCTGCTCCTTTAAAAAACACTTGTTATCTTGATTTTGTATCATAGAAATTTGATCTTTTAAAGCTTTAATAATCTGTTTCTCTCGAGTAGCTTGAAGGACATTACTCTCTGTATCACACTGGTCCTCATTATTTTTGGAAACCGAGTTTTGGAAACCTGGAAGACATTTTGGGTTTTGTAGCCATCTGTTATAGCTTGCTGGTTCAGGGTCAGAAGAACCAACTGGTGACCTTCTATCCTCAAGCTGAAAATTCACTTCCTAGGATGAAAAAATAAATAAAGCCATGATATGCAAAATATAACACTACCAGACATGAGAATAGTAAAGAATAATATAAAAAAAAGTTGGAAATTTCTGGCAGATGGCGGAGAATGACTTACACAATAATTTCCAAACACAATTCTCCCTGGAGAGGATTTACCTTTGGTGATTTTATTGTGATCTTCAAGTCCTGATGGTGAAACTACTACATTCTAAACTTTTAAATTCCCTTAACTTGTGTATAGTCAATGATTGCCATACATGAAGTCACCATTTTCCCTTGCTATTATGCTTTTTGAAAATGGGTGTAAGTTTTCATCTCTTTGTCTGAATAATATATAGACCATGGTCATGTAATATGGATGAAGCATGAGCAAACTTTTTGTTTATAAAAATATATTGATGGTATCTCAGATATACATGTATCACTAATGTCTATCCAAAAAAATTAGCTAGAAATAAAGGTTTCGAACTGTTAGATTTTTTTTTCAATTACAAATTTCAACACTTATTCTACTTAAATAATTTTGAAAGATTATATTTCTTTAAATAAGTCATAACCTATACTTTTACAATATGTCAACAAGTAAAGAAATAAATTCAATATACAAAAACAGTACAAGATAATTGTTGTGTTCTTTCATTACTGACTAAATACAATTATACAGACAAGACTGCCATGCAAAAAGATGCAGTTTTCCCAAATGTGCTGCACAATATGAAATGTAACAAAACTTGATATATTTTATATGAAGACTACTGATGCACCAATCATAGAAAATTAGTTACAAAGGCAAAGGTTAAAAACTACCCTAAGCAAACGATAAGAACTGAGATTATATAAAGAAAAGGGTTACCAAGGACAAGGAAATCACTCATATAATGAGTACTTATCTAGAATTTATGCACCATAGTAATCAGAATAAGCAGATATAAAAGTACATTAAGTTCTGAAAACAACAGGGAGTTAATTATTTAGATTTTGGTCAACAGAACATCTCATAATGAGCTACACTCAAATATCACTTACATTAATTATGTGAGAAAGGTGTTCACAGACAAGACTGGAACAGGAAGCAACAGAACACCAAGATAAGAGTTTATTGAAATTAAATTTTAGCTACTTTTCTAACAGCTAATGACTCCAATCTCACTTCAGAGTTCCTATACCTGTGTAGAAATGAAATTCCATAACTTTTTCATGACCATTTTCAGAAATTCACACAAGAAACTGCACCTGGACACATGTTTTCAATTGTAAATATTATACAAATATTGGTAACTAATGTTTTATATAATGAAAATACAGTAATATTTTAATTCTTAATTTAGCAGCATTCAAATGTAACTGAATTATTTGAAAATAAAGACGGTCAGTATTTCAGCATTTCTTTTTTTACAGTTTCTGTTCCATTTTCACAGTGAGTGTCTTCAAGGATTTTTAATTCTCTCTTACAGCCTTCCTCAAGGAATTGGCTACTGTGAGGTGGCTAAAGTTTATTCCCTTTTCAGCTTTCTCAATGTTTGCATCTAATCTTCTTATGTTTGAGATATTCCAGTTAAAAGTCAGTTTCTTCAATCTTCCTATTGATATTGCATTCAATGTCTTCATGTTTTCTGTATGTTTCTTGCATGTGAATGCACAAAGCTGCTCCTCCCATGATGCAGATGTGAAATGAACTTTGGCATGGTTTACAATCTTGCTTTTCTAAGGTATGAATCCCTTTCTAACCATTCCTGTTAGTTTGATTTGAAAACCAGCTTTATGTTAATAAAAAGATAAATCAAAAGAAATAATATAAGGGAAGATCAACAATACAAGTTGAGTGCTGGCTAGTGGAATATGTTTTAACTCATCAAGAACAATTTTGAGATGTGAAGTTATTTCTTTGATGTTTTTTAAAGGTTCTTGTGTATGCCCAGAAAGATCACACAATCGCAGGGATACATATACCACAGGCTGAGAACCACTGTATTACATGATCTAATTGCTTGTATTAGTTAGTCACTGGCAGTATCGTAGGAATCCTTTACTTATGTGCTTCTGCCTAGCAGATCAGGTGCATCAGTGTACGATATCCTTAACTTTATGGTATTTCTCTTATATGTACGTGGATTAAGTTAACCTAATATGTCCCAAAAGTACTGCATATTCCTGCTTACAGAATAACGAACACAAATAAATCACTAACTGAATCCATCAAATGTGCTTCAAATTAACATATTTGTATAACACCATTACCTGCACACTGCTACTGAGCCAATCTTTATCATCAATGACAGGTAAGTCCAATGTTCCAAGTACAGATCTCAAAGAAGATAGAGATTCATGATTTGTACTCATCCCTTTTAGTTCTTCTTGGGATGTTGTAAAAACAGAAAATGAATCTACCATTTCGTTGTCCTAATAAAATAAATGTTGTTTTTAGTTTTTGTTGTACAAATTCTTAGTTGACAATAAATATATGAGAAAAAAATACTACTAAGAGAATAATAACTTTCAATTAAACATTATAGTAAATGGGTAAAAAACTCTGTACAACTGTATTAGATATAATTATATACATTACCCCAGAATTTGGTATAAGCCATTCATCTGGTTTGTTTCTTATCTTGGGAAAGCATATTTTAATCTGAGAAAGTAAGATAAGATTAGAATTAGAATGATCTAGACAAAAAATTTCAAAATACCTAACAGCTGTCTTTCAAGTCTATATGTATCAACATAACTGATTATGTTACAAATAAATCTGATAAATATTTTTATGTTTCACAACATATCTACTAATTTTCAATGATAGTGAAATTTACATTCTTACGTATTTTCATATTAATTACTAATATACTTTTACAAAAATAGTAGTACTAAAAGTTGTAAGTCATAGGAAATCAATATCTGAAGTGTTGAAGTAACAATAAAAAGGAATTTCGGTGTATGAGTATCAAAAACACTGCAGCCAAAGATAAATGAGCTTGATGATTAATGGCATTTTCTTTCTATGACAAGTTTATCTCTGCCAAAATTAAATTTTAGAAAACAACAATGCAAAAATAAAAAACTTCAAACAAATACTGTATAAACTTTGTAGATCAAGTACTGATAACTTCACTTAAAAAGTCAACAAAGATATGTTCACATGAGCTAAGCACAGGTGTTTACATACAAATTACAAACAGTAACATTACTTGATTACCACACTTTAATGAAAATGTGAAACCTTTTTTAAAATAAACTACTTATACATTATATAAAAATTTCTTTGCACAGTACCAAAACTGATTTGAATTACATCTCACAGTACATGTTTATGTTCATTAACTGAAAAAATTACTCATAAATTGCAGTAAAAAGACAGTACTGTCTGTTGAAATACAAGACTGATGTATGAAAACAAGATCTTTCTTCAACCTTGTACTGCCATCTTGTTTATGTGACACATTTATAACTATATATTTTTATTTGTTCAGTTGCTTGAGCTTATCTCCTGATTCTGTTATCTTAGCATCATACTATATTTATCATAATGATAAACAACAAACTAGAAATGTTAATATCTTATAATTTGAATCTACATAATTTTTAGAAAAATTACTGATTAGCACATGTTACCATGATGGTAAATATAGTATGATACTAAAACAACAGAATGGTGTTAGCTATTTTGTAATTACCACATGAAAGTAATTTATCTTAATTTTTGTTTTTTATGTTGCTGGAGGTTTATGTAATTTTACAGTAATTCTCTGTGCAGGTTGATAAGGTGTAACCACAAAATTATTTTTGAAGGATACACACTGCCAGGTTTGACTAACAGAAGTAAAAAATTAGAAAACATTTAACATATTTATATTCTTCCATAACAACTGAAATTCTAGACACATTTTTAGATTTTGATCTTTAACCCTTTCACTATTGCATCAGTGGATTACACTGATCACGTGACCATCAGTTTCCATACTATAACTTCTAACATTTTTTATGTATCATCATGAAATTTTCAAGCTTTTAGTAATCATTATTGGTCTTTTGTAGATAAAAAAATTCTGAATTTTTACTAAAAATTTATTCATAAAATATGGAGTCAGAATGTTGACTGCTCTGTGTGCGAAGTGACTTTCATGTTAAGATTAAAAATACTTTTCTTCATCTGAAAATTATCAAATTTAATTTGTGTAACCTCTAAGACCTTGTAAATAAATATCAACGTTCCAAAGTACTTCTCCTGAGAGTTTAATTCTAATCTTTTCACATCCATTTCCTTTATTCATTTTGCTGTTAGTGGCTGAAAAAGAACCCTGCTGAATATAAAGCAATAAATTACTGCTCCTACCATAAGATGTTTACATGACAACATAATACAACACCATCAATAGGAAACAAGCATGTGTAGCGCAATAAGCTGACAATTCCAACAAAGTTTATCATACTCCCAGTTCCAAGAACACAGTGGGAGAGGATTTATCAGCTTGTTTATGGTACAGTGGTTGCAACAACAATTGTTTAAAGTAATAAAAGTGTGAGAAAATGATGATATGGCTCTGTACAAAGTTTGGGCCGATCCAATAAACTTAGTAGGTATTTTGATGTTATTCTCCTGAAGTAGTTGGAATTTAGTAGTATAGGTGTATAAAGTATGTAAGTGATTATGAAATGTATATATATACTATTTACTCATAAATGCTTAATTTTTGTTGATTTTTCTTACATCGTAGAACAATAAATAAAAATTTAGAAGATGCATTTGACCTCATTCATTAATGAGTGTGAAAACCCAGATGTCGCTTTTTCTGCAAAATGGCTGCAGCCAGCATGATAATGAGGAACCCAATCCCTTTAGGAGTTGCCACACAAGCACACTGCATGCTAAAAGCAATAAATGCTTATATAAAACACTGCAAGCTACTTGAGATGATATTTACCAACTTCTGGATTTCTTTTATAAGAGATTATGTGGGAAATGTCAGGGTACTTTTGCAAGTACTATCAGCCTACTATCACATAAAATACAATGCAAGCTCAATCTAATAGAACAACCACACACATTTCACATTTCAATCCAAAAATTGTGTGTAAAAAGAGGTTAATGTGGGAAAAAATTAAAGTAAATGATGTGGCTCTGGGCAGTTAACAGTTGTCTGAAGTATGCCTGTGGTCACTAACACTACATGTATACTGGATGAAACAGGCAGTATCGTATACAGGTGATTAGTGAGGTGCTGTACACACACGTCATTAATATCATTGCTGGGATTCAAACAGGACAAGGAACATATGTTCACAAGAATAGCTTGTACACCTAAATATGTTAATGATGTTGTAACAACTGTTAATGACACTTCCAATGAAATGGACAATGATTGAAGGTAAATTACGAACACTGAATGAACAAGTATAAGAAACAAATGCATCACTAAATAAAAAGCTATGTAGGGCTGGCTACTGAACTAGAAAAAAAAAGGAACCAAACAAGATAGGGATAGAAGTTTGTAGTTAAGCACAAAGCTACACAATGGGCTATCTGTGCTCTGCACACCACGGGTATTGAAACCCGGATTGTAGCGTTGTAAGTCTGCAGACATACTGCTGTGCCACTGTGGGGCAGGGATAGAAGTGGACATGTTACTTGATCAGGTAATAATGATCACATTGCAGACTAAGCCGTCTTGGCTTTACATAGCAAATAAAATCCCTATATTACTGGTTTTCCCAGTTTGTCTATCAAAAGCTCAGTTTGAACAGAACTCAGGTTTTATCATTAAACCTTTCCTTTAGTTAACTTTAGAATATCACTTTTATGACTATTTTACAATAGAGCAACATTTTATAATTGGAAATTCTGGTTCCATTTGTTTTGTCAGTGAGAAAGCCAGTAATGTAAGGATTTTATTCTCCATGTAAAGTCAAGACAGCTTAATCTGCTATGAGATCATTAGCTGATCAAGTGATATGTCCACTTCCATCCCTATCTTGTTTGGTTACGTTTTTTCAAGTTCAATAGCCATCACTATATGGCATTTATTCAGCAATAAATTTTTTCTAGAAGATGGCATACATGGGTTACTAGGTTATAGTGTATTCTTTAGTAAAGCATTATAAATGTTGCATAGAATAATAATAAAATAGTTATTCAAGGACTGTGAAGACTGTTTTGATGATAAAATTATAGTTACTGCTGGAATTAGGTAGGCGCTAGGCCTGCTGCAAAAAGATGACGATGAATGAAAATAAGACATCTCAGTTTTGGCTATTTGCCAGTTTTCAACCTTGGGAAGCTCTGGATAGCTGAAAAGTGGCATATACACCAGATATAGAGCAACTATGTCAAGTAGCTCTTCATATCTAGCTTGCAATGACCTGTAGAGATGAAAATACAGAAGACTTTTGTATTGCTTTAATACAGGTGTCTGTGCCATCCCTACATAACAGTTGTAGCACGCTCTCCATTGTCATTTGTAACAGCAATGTTTTGGTCATTTTTGTGATTTCTGTCATTTGTGAGACAAGGCAAACACAACACATATAAATAAATATGAAGAGTGGAAAAATGCCCTATTTTATATACCTTTCATCTCAAGACAAACTGATTACTAAACCACTATATTCTTAAAACAGTGTATCTTTGTTACCAATATTATAGAAACTAATCAGGTATGCTGAAAAAAACTGAACCTCAATAAAAATTAATTTTTGATAATTTCAAGCTTCAACACTGTCCTTATCTTTATAATACATTCATGTAAATGTATTTCCTCCTATATATTGTGAACTGTGGCATCTGTACAAGCAGGCAAAGCTCAACATTCACTTTTCAAATGATGGGGGAACAGGTATGAATAATACTGATGGCAAATTATATTTCTCAAGCAGGATAGACAACACTAAATTGTTAGGAATTAATCACGCTACCATTCACATTTCAAAATATGACATAACTTATTGAATAAAAATGTAGAATTACCACATGTTATTGTTGAACAGCTCTAAGCATGACCAAAATGTTCAACAATTACTTTTCACGGTGGGTGGTAGAAGTAGCTCGAGGCTCTGGCTTTGAGTGAATCCAAGAGTGTGCAAAACAATTAATCTTTTTAAAAATCCATGATATAATTAAAATTGATAGATTAACTTTTCCTATCACGTTTGCTTGTATATTTATATCATTTAGAAATAACTAGTTTCTGATGATCCTTTTAATTGTTGCATAATTGGATAAACTTGCAAACATATATTTAAAACTCAATTCTCTAGAAAGAATAAATTTCTGAGAGTAAATATACATATGCTTTACAGTTTCCAAGTGTACAGTGTTAGAAATAAATATGGGAAAGAAAGGAAAAAAGCAAATATTTCAAGAACACAGTCTTTTTTGTGTGTGTGTGTGTGTGTGTGTGTGTTAAAATCAAATAACACATTACAAGTGAATAGAAATAAAAGTCAAGAATACTCCAAGTAAATAATAGTAAGAGTTGTGTGCAAAACTGAAGTGGATACGTGAATGTAGCACTATTAATAACAAAGTAGTCTAGGTAGAAAACAGATTATTTCCAAAAATGATGTTAAGTATCTCAATATATGCCAATGGTATCAGTAATCTAAAAATTATACAGGTGTTACATGGTGACATTTATATTT